CTCTCTCTCTCTCTCTCTCTCTCTCTCTCCCTCTGTATGTGTTTGTGCGAGTGTGTGTTTGTGAGCGTGTATTTGAGTGCAATTGGACGCATATTGTTTCGCCCCTTCTACGTCTGCCGACGAAATCCCTTCACCTCTTTTTAGTCCCATTCGTCCTTTCCTGTTCGAATTTACTTTGAAGCGCGGGGAGTTACATAGCAGAGCCCTTTTATCGTTTGTTTAGGTATGATTCTTCTTCATATTGACATGATTATCCCCGATTCGGAATGCTTGATGACCGGCCATTTGGCATGAGGGGGGACAAAGCTGGAATGTTGACTTTGGGTTCAATCTTGCAAGTCTCCCAAGCCCAAGGTTGGCCCATTAGAGACGGGAAGAATGCTGACCTTTGGGACTGCTTCTTTCTGTCATGGACAGATTGAGGTCGCCCCTAGTTGTATATTCTTCTATTGCCATATCCCAGATATTTCTGGCTGCCCCCCTCGACTTTTTAGACCTGGATTATGAATGAACATCACGGTGTCGACTAACCTCCACTTTTGCCAGACCTCTTTGGGAACAAGGGCTTTTCGTTTTTCTTTCTTTTTGACCATGTTTTTATTACTGACAACAGTGTCAAATGAGCGTTAAAGTTTGCCTTTCCAAAGTTAAAAAAAGGTTGCAGAAGATCCTCTTTCTTGTTTTCGTCGGCAGTTTCGTTTAACCTTTGGTCGTTTTCTTAAACTAAACTTTATTTTGTTCACGTAGCTGAAAAACTCCACGGGTATTACTGCTTCCTTTATTATGTTTATCCGTTTTATTATTTCTGTCATACTTTCAGTTTCATGTCATGTCTTGTTTCAGTCCTTTCCTTCACTCCACCCCAGGGGCGAAGCGTCTATATAATCAAATAATCACTGCTTCCCTTCCTAATTTTGAAACATTGTCGCTGTCAAATTCATCCATAAACGTAAACCTCTTAAATTAGATTTCAAAAGACGTTCGTAATCAACAATGAACAGTATGCCTAACATTCAAAACGGTTTCACGGCCACAGAAATAGCCTCCTCACCCCTCTCGGGTCACTCCATAAGCAGTCGCAAGCTTTGATTTTAAGCTTAAAGTGAGGCTGGAAGAGTCCACCAATATGGTTGAAGGGAACATGTGCATAGCAGTCTAAGCTGTTTCATTGCCACATATACCCTGTTCACCC